GAAAAACAAGTCTGAAATCTCTCCTATCCTGTGCTATCCTTGCCATCTCCAACACACTTGAGCCCATTGTCAAAGTCATTGTGTCAATTCACATGGTCAAAGGTTTTCCTTTTTTACGCAGACCATCCACCTTTCCACCTGTGATGTCTTTAAATTAAGGACTGGTCCCTCCCAACAACATGCCCCCAGTATGTAAGAAGAAGCTTCACCATCCTTACTTCCAAGATGCACTCTTGTGTCACTTTCTCCTAAACTTAATTAGTGTCTCAATTCTTTGTTAGGAAAGCTACTTGTGTTGTTTGTCATGATTTATACTGAGACTTTCCCTTCTAAAAAATACAATGATCCTTACTTATAAATTGGGAGAATCATAAATCTCTCCAAATATGTGAGCTAATATATTTATGCCAACTTCATAGATTAAATAGTTGACAATTAAATTAGCTTTGCCAGCCTTACAAAACTATGACACGACAAAGGTAGAATTCAAACTAAAGTGGTCTGATTCCAGAGTTCTCACTTTTAGCCATTGTGTTACAAACTCTAGACTCCTGTTTTCAAGTAACAGTCATTTTTTTCCTCTCTAAGATATGTTCCACTGTGACAGTGATGTGTCAAATGTGTTAATGGTTACTGATGGTGGACAGTGTTTAGCTGAGCTCCCTGATTAAAACAAGCTTGGAAGCAGGAGTGGCATCCACTTCCAAAATCGCTTGCCTCCAGAAACTCTAAGAACTTGAAGAAATGATGAAAGTTATACAAATGTTCATGTCTTTGGTTCATAGGGTTGCTATGAGTTGTCTATGACTCAACAGCACTTAACAACAAGAAGAAGACACGTTCCAGGAACTTACGGTTAAAGCACCCAATACATTAATGGAAAGAAAATATTCTAGACATGAGTTTCCTCAAAGCTCCCATCATGTCCTTGTAAATAAAGAGATTCATCATGGGAGTGACCACGGTGTATATTCCTGAGGCAATCGCACTCTTCCTGGAGGAGTGAGTACCTGCACATACATACAACAAAAAGGACCCCAGAAACTTCCCTTGCCTGGCTGCCACCGAGAGGAGCTGCCGTCAAGACGCCAGCCATCCCACCAGTTAGCCGACTTCTACGAGTATCTTTCATTGTAATAACTTTAAAATACATCCTTTGACATTATCATCCATAAGTTGATATTATTGCTCTAAGTTATCAATATTATTGTGTAATTTGAAAATAATGAAATAAGCATCTAACCTAGTATACAATAAATTCTTTTATTAATTTTAAAGAAAGTTTATTGTAATCCCAGAGGTGCAAGGTTCAAATCCACCAGATGCTCTGCTGGAGAAGGAGGAACAATCTCCTCCTGTACCAGCCAGGTCTGATTTGGTGATATGCAAGCACATGCATGATAATAAAATAAAAAAGAAATTTAAAAAAGAAAGTTTACAGATTTTGGATTTCCATTCATTCATTGTTGCACTTTTCTCCCTACCCACCTCTCCCCTCAATTCACTCTTTTTCTTTTCTTTGAAAAGTAAAAGAGAAATCTTTTCATTGTTATATAATCCCTCCCCCGAAGTCTACTCCACGAGGGATACAATAAATTTTGTGGTTGTAGCCAATCATGAATTTGGGTTCATTCATTCATTAGGGTGACAAACTGATATTCTATAAAACAACAGAACTAAAACATGGAATCTCCATTAGTGAGAATTTAGTTAATAGCAATGGACTTTATTTCTCTTAACTGACCAGAAAAGAGAGCTTAGAAAAAGACAAATGCACAAATAGCAGTTTATTTAATGTGTAAGTAGTTACCTCAGTATTGTGATTAAATGCGATAGCTAATAAAAGGTACTAGGATATTAAGCAAATTTTATTCCTGCTCATATCAACAGTAAAAATAAACTATAAGCAGATACATAGCAAATACGTAAATTGAAAAACTGTAAGTTCTTCAAATATAGGTAGGGAGGAGTTTCATAAGCAAGACCTATTAATAAGAAGTCATTAAGGAAAATATTGACAAATTCAACTAAATTATAACTTCGCATGCGTTTATAAAAATTGTTACAATGTATATTTAAAGTTGTTGTTGCTAAGTACAGTAGAGTCGTAGGTGACTCATAGCGACCCTAAGAACGAAAGTCCTTAACACTTGAGTACGTGACTTTCATCCTTTTTCCCAGGCTCATAGGGTTTCCAGAGGCAAGTTATTTACGGAAGTGGATTTCATTCCGCCTTCCAAGCTCATTTCAAGCGGGGAACACCACCAAACACTGTCCACCATGGGTAACCATTATCGCATTTGACATGTCAGTGTCGCAGTGTTCCGCTTTACAGCGACCACAAGTTACCTCTGTATGGCAAGTGGACATGCCAGGGACTTAGATATCCATGGCTCAATTCAGGTTGTTTCCAAGTGATCATTTAACATTGCACACTTGTTAATTTCTTATTCCTTTGGACAATGAGAAACAATGAGGAAGAATTGAAACTTTTGAATTGTGATTTTGGTTAAGAATACTGACTACGCTATCATGGACTCTCAAAAGAACAAACAGGTTAGTTCTAGAAAAACAAAGTTAAAATCTCCTTAGAAGGAAAGGTGCTAAGACTTCACTTTATATGTTTTGGAGGGGCATGTTCCTGGAGAAAGGTATTATGCCAGAAGAGGAAGATATTCATTGAAATAGACGATTGTAATGGCTGTAACAATGGGATTAAGCACAGAGGGAATTGTAAAAATGACACAGGATCAGATCAGGCTACAACCAGGATCACTAAGACTTAGAGCTGACAAGCTAGCAACTAAAGCCAATATGCTTAAAACAAAGCACAATCTAAAGAAGAAATTTGCAGTGCAGATAAATGTCAAAATATATCATCTTAATTCAATAATAAGCCTTTATAAGGAGCATTATAAAACTGATTGCTAGGCTCCACAATCAACACTCTTAACACCAATAGTCAGAAAATCAAAAGACGAATTGCACTGGGAAAATCTGCTGTTAGGGACATCTCCAGAGTGCTGAAAAGCAACGATGTCAGCCTAGAGACCCAAGTGCACTTAATCCTGACTATGGTCTTTGCCATAACTTGCTATGCATCAGAAAGCAGGACAATGACTAAGGATGACAGAAGAAGAATCGATGCCTTTGAGTTGTGGTGCTGGAGAAGAGTCTTAAACATACCATGGACTGCCAAGAAAACAAATAGGTCTGTCTTGGAGAAGGTTAAACAAACTTCTCCTTGGAGGCTAGGATTTTGAACTCCATTTCACATACTTTGGGCAAGTGGCCAGGAAAGAACAGTCCTTGGAGAAGGATATAATGCTCAGAAGGGTGGAGGAACAGCACGGGAGAGGTAGACCCCAGATGAGACAGACTGATACACTAACTGGAGCAATGGGAGTTAGTGTGTCAGCATTAGTGAGACTGGCTCAGGACAGGGCAGAGTTCAGAGCTGTTGTACATAGGGCTGCTATGGGTTGCAGGTGATTCAACAGCACAGAACAACAACATAAACACTTGGTTGCCAACAAGAAGGTAAGTTGTTCAAACCCATCAGTAGTTCTGCAGAAGCATGTTCAGTCTTCTGTGACGAGTTGTTGTTGTTGTTCTTATGTGCCATCAAGTCGTTTGTGACTCATAGCGACCCTATGTACAAGAGCTCTAAACACCATTCTATCCTGTGCCAACCTAGCCATCTCAAATGCACTTATTCCCATCGCTCCAATCACAGAATCGATCCATCTCATTGAAGGTCTTTCTCTCCTTCGCCACCCCTCTACTCTGGCAAACCTGATGTCCCTCTCCAAGGACCAGTCCCTCCATGCAACATGCTTCAGAATCCTTGACTCCAAGGAGCATTCTGGCTTAACCTTCTCCAGGACAAACCTGTTTGTTCTCCTAGCAGTCACAACAGCCTATGCACAACAGCCCTAAACTCTGTCCTAGTCTGTGCCAATCTCACCATCTCTGACACATTCACGCCCATTACCCCAGTCACTGGATCAATCCATCTCATAGAGGATCTTCCTCTCCTGCGCTGTCCCTTCACCCTCCCAAGCATGATGTCCCTCTCTAAGGACTGGTCCCTCCTTGCAATATGTCCAAAGTATGTCAGAGTGCTGTTAAAAAATGTTTGCAGCTCCATCAATAGTTAATCACTGAATTATTATATAGCATAGCAATCCAATCCCAGCTAGAAACTAAAGAAGAATTTCTAAAATCAGGAATTAAACAGAAAACTGTATATGAATATTCACTGCAGCACTATTAACAATACACACAAGATGCCCATCTTTTTCATTTAACCAGTGAAACTGAATTAAAATATCTGATCTTCAGAATGATAAGACTATATATTTCTATTGTCTTCAGGCATTAAGTTCATGATTTGTTACTTGTTACAAAAGCAAGAATAAACAACTGTACATACTGAAAAGTATATATTCCAATTCAGGCTAATAATGAAGAAAACATCTTTTGGATGACACATTGAAAATGTGTGTTTGTGTTAAAATGATACCGTAAAGAGGTGTCTTATTTCTGTGTTGAGAAATGATGTATGCACTGGTGTACCACTGGAGACCATTAAGGGCAAAGGTCAAGGAAGAAATCAACATCTGAGGGAATAAAAAGTATCCCTGTGATTCTGTATCTGAACTTACTCTATTTCTCAACTCTTGTTAGGCAATTGAGACTTTTGTTTTCAAAAGCTACAACTTTGCTGACAAAATTGAACTATTTCAAGTCTTCCCAACAGTGTATGCTAAGGTAATTTCATAGATAAGTGTTGACATCTATTTGCAAGGGTGATAAAGCTATGGCAGAACAGAAGTAGGATTCAAACCAAGGTGATCTGATTCCAAAGTTCTCATCTTTAGTAGCTATAATCTCCAGTTCTTTGTTTTCAAAGATCGGAGTTAGGTTTTGTGAATCTCTCCTTTTTCTTCTTTCTGACATATTTGTTCCAGCAGCTTTGGGCAATGGCATCTGACACGTCAATTTAAACATAACACTCTAGACATGAGTTTCCTCAAAGCTTCCATCATGTCCTTGTTCCGAAGGCTGTAGATAAAGGGATTCATCATGGGAGTGACCACGGTGTACATTACTGAGACGATTGCACTCTTCCTGGAGGAGTGAGTACCTGCAGAGCTAAGATAGACCCCAAAACCCGTCCCGTAGAACAGTGAAACAACGACTAAGTGTGACCCACAGATGGAAAACGCCTTGTATTTTCCACCAGTTGTTGGGATTTTTAGGACAGAGGAGACAATGCGAATATAAGAGAAAATGATCCCAGAGAGAGGAATAACACCTAAAAGACTAGTCACTACATACACCAAGACGTTATTGATGAGGATGTCAGAACAGGCGAGCTTAAGAACATGAGCCAGTTCACAGAAGAAGTGGGGGATTTCCAGGTTCATGCAGAAGGACAATCGCAGTGCCATCAAAGTATGGAGCAGGGCATCCAGAACGCTGATGAGGAAAGATAACACGACCAGCAACCCACAGAGTTTGGGGTTCATGATGGCAGAGTACCTCAGCGGGTAGCAGATGGCCACAAATCGATCATAAGCCATCATTACCAGAATTCCATTTTCTAGTCCCGCAAAAGTCAGCACAAAGCAGATCTGAATGAGGCAGCCTGGGTAACTGATGGATTTGTTCTGTGTCTGAATGTTCACCAGCATCTTGGGCATCGTGGTGGTGGTGAAGCAGATGTCTACAAAGGAAAGGTTGGAGAGGAAGAAGTACATGGGGGTGTGGAGATGAGGGTCACAGATGATGGCCAGAATGATGAGCATGTTCCCCAGCACGGTGACCAGGTATGTGGCCAGAAAGAGCCCAAAGAGTAGAGGCTGTACTTCTGGATCCTTTGAGAGTCCCAGAAGGAGGAATTCTGTAGGATGTGATAGGTTTCCCGACGCCATGATGTTGACAGGCCTGATAGAGAAGATGAATATGACAAGAAAACCAAATATATGATATGTCTCCTTAATCCTGTCTCTATTTTGAAACCAAATCAGTTGCAGATACTTTCTTCTGCTTCTTTTTCTCTTTTTCACTTACCTTTTGTTCACCTCACCATTTTTTCTTATTCCTAAATATTCATATGAACAAAACATTATTCTGGGATATTGACATCCCATATTGAGGTTTCAAGGCCATCTTGAGGAAGAGATTGCTCATCTTTCTTCAGAAGAGATGCGAGTAGATTGGAACCATGGACCTTTGGATTAGCAATCCAACACACTGCACACTTTGCTATCAGAACTCCTTAAGTTTTTAGTTATTTATTTTGTCAAGAAATCCTTTTAGTGATATAAACACATAAGCACTTTACTACTAACTGAGCAGTTGTCAGTTCAAACTCACCAATAAATTCTTCTAAATAAAGGGGTGATTACCTAGTTTTTAATTATATAATAATTTAAAACTCTGTGACTTACAGGTCTCCTGTTGTATATAGAACTACTATGAGTCCACATTGACTCACTGTGCCTTGCATTGCATTCCTTTGATATTCTTTGTCAAGTAGAATTTATTTGGTGGTAATAAAATAGAAACCAGACATTGTCGTCTTTGGAATTCTGTCAGATCTTTTGTTGTTATTGGTGGTTGATTGCCATAGAGTGGAGCATGACTCCTTGAGACCCTATAAACAAAAGACCTAAAGCCTCTCTATAACTATCAACATTTATCAAAGTTCGTAGAGTTTCCAGAGGCATGCTGTTTAGGAAGTAGATTTCACTCCTGCTTCCAACTATCAAATAATAAATAGATAATAAAATTATTGATATTCTGTATTCTAGAAAACAGATTACCAAAATTGAGTTTAAGAGTTAAAGCTTGCCTTATGTCTGTTTTTATAA